CCCCATACTCATGCTCGGTTTGAACTGCAGGAGATTGTCTTGACCATGTCTACATGCCTAAATGCACTGAGTTGCCGCCATGTGATTGGCTGCTTAGAAATTAAGATTTAACGAGCAGTTGGACAGGTGTACCTAATAAAGTGGCCGGTGAGTGTATATTTTCAACCTGTTGAGCCATTTTATTTCCCACTACAAACCAAAGGAGGTTTCTCAAATGATACTTGAACACCAATTTACCCAGCTGCCGTTCTTAAGCTGTATTTCTGTTCTGGGCAAGAAATCTATTAAGATACATCTGATCACCAAATCTGCCAAAGGTTTATAGCATATTTGGAATCAAATAAAAAATTAGAAACTTTGTTCAGGTTTTACACCCACTACAACTAAGGTTTCTATTTTAGAGGTAAAATTCTGGTGTTCTATTTTTAAGGAGAGGGATTTTTTATTCTGCTTAAAGGTGATAAAAAAATTTTATTGGGAAAAAGAAACATGTGAAGATATTTCAGAATATCGTTTTAAAGTTAAAAGCATGTAATATGTATAATAGTAGGTTATGTTAAGGGAAGCTAAACTAGTGCATCTGAAACGTCAATGATATTGATTTGGTTAAGTTGATGCCTGAAACAAATGGTGTGCATTAAATCATTTGCACCAACGTCAATAGAATTTGACTTTTGCTGTGTTGTCTTTAAAGGCTCAATAATAATTGTCAGTTTGCATGAAAAAGAAAAATCCTGTAATTGTATTGTACGCAAAGATCAAAGCCCTGGACAAACAGTAAAGGTTAGGAAAATAATACATAATGCATCCACTCTTTCTTGTTCTACCATGTGTTAGATAATCTTTTGGTTTTGTTCCCAGGAAATGCTGAGTCATGTATTTTTGGAAGGAAGTGGGTACATTACAGAGAGCTCCTCCAGCCTCCTTCCCTCCCATCCACTTCTCCTGTTTTCTAGTCACATTCCTGTCCGCAAGCAGCTGCTTTCAGTGGCCATCAATAAAAACACCAACTGAATGCTGATCACACAGGTTAATGGGAACACTTTACTGAACATGGGCCAACTCTTCCGACAAAAATAGTTGCAACTTCCTAGTTTTACAGAAATACATCAGGCTTTCTGATACACAAACATTGTGTATGACAAATGAAGCTTCATTTCATTATCTGGAACAAAAGCTATCCCAGGTAGAAAGAGAAGACTATAAATGAGAAAATAAATGTGCAAAACAATTGATGTTATGCAACAAGATCTTATATAGTATATGATCTAGCAGAGCGTGTCGCTATGAACTGCAGAACTGTTATTAGCTGTCTGTTTATAACAGCATAAAGTTTGGAGATGCAGCAGGCGATAACTTATTACTGCTGTCATTTGCAAAGCACTCTAAGTGAATCATCTATCAGGAAATTGCTGCTTATCTGTTTGACGAGAAGAAGCAAACGAAATGTGCATGTTAATAATTTAGAAGGAACACTTTGAGCATTTAATAATAATAACAAAAAAGTTTAGAGTAGTTCTGGGTCATTTTTGTGATTTTTCAGGGCTATGTTTGTATAGCTACCACTGCCAAAGGCTGTTTACAGATTATCATCTTCTCTGGATAAACTGAATAAAGGATAAAACTTTTTTCTGTTCTTACATGTCTGAAACATCTGGCTTGGGACAAACAGAAAAACAGTTGGATTACTCTGAATGTTTATCTACAACAGAATCGGAGTAAGCAGCGACGGCATCTAAGGCAGGAACCTCTGGTCTTATGTTTAAGTCTGAATCCAGATATAAAGGATTGTTCCAGCAGGATGGCTGCCAACGCAGAGTGCAGTCGCCACACAAGAAATCCCAGACCCTGATGTCAAAGGAAAGACAAGGTCAGAACCTAGCAGGATGATCCGGAGGGTGAAACCAAAGCTGATGTCGTTGATGTGGTCAGTTGTCAGAGCCAGGAGGTCAGACGTCTGCTTAGGCGCCGAGGGAGAATCCAGGATGGAGTCGGGTCACAATTCCAGGTAAGGCAAACAGTGTGGCTGACAGGCTCGACGAGGGCAGGGAGGCTCAGTGGTCCGGAGATGGTTCTGGTTGATAAACAAGCATGCAAACATCAGAAGACAGGTCAGGCAAACAAATCAGACAGGAAGAGGCAGGCTCAGAGGTCGAGAGGCAGAACGGGTCAGGATTAGGTAGTCAGAACACAAGAATGCTGGAATAAGTCTCACCAAAGGCTCAAAATAATCAGGCACTGATGACTGGTCTGAAGGCTGGTTATATAGTGACTAATGCAGGTGGATAAGATGAGCGGGTAATGAGAACTGCTAAGCAGGTGTGAGAAATGAGCGATCAGACCAGGCATTAGTGCTGAGATCATGACAGATATTCACAACATTAAAGTTGCAAATAGCAATAATACTAAAATAGAACCTGAAACATAATCAACATGTAAATTAAAATCTAACAAGGGGGGAATGCCTCGTGTGAGAATCTAATTTAACATCTGCATCGTTTCTCAGCCCCCTGACTTCACTTATACTGGAAACTCTTATCAGTGTTTTTCTAGAAACTAATTGGGCTCCAACTGAAAATAATTTATTTGCCTTCCCCTTTGTTTAGTTGCAGCATTTATGTTACATATTTATAAATATAAATGGAAGTAATAAAAATGTTTTCAGAAAGTAAAGAGAGGAAAGCACAGATATTGTTTTTCAAATGTATAGAGAGTAAAAGTAAAAAGTCCACAGAAAGCTAAATAGTGGAGTACAAACAGAAAAAAAGCTTCTTGAGTACCATATGTATCTTTACTTTGTTACTTAACATCTCTGTCTGGTTTATTCGTTCACCACAACATAAATAAATAAGCCTCTTTGGGTGATTTTCTGATAATGTAAAATGAGAAGAATATTGTTTTTAAGAAAACACAACAAATCAAAATTTCTTTTCCACAAAAAGCTTTAAATTAATAATAGCTTTATTCAAACTAATATCCTCTAATTACACCACTCCACTATTTAGAGGAGAAGAACTTATCTGGTTTCCCCTGCTGTTCTTGCTATATACTGTAAGCACATATTTCCTAACACAAATCAGTGCACTGACTGCATCACAGGCTTCTGTGACCTTTTTACAGAGGCGTCCAAGGATTAGTCAGCCAAATGAGCCTAAGCCACAATCAATAACCCGTCTAAATCATCAACAGCCTTGAAGATCAGAGACACCCTTCCTCCATGGCTCCTTAAGCAACTACAGAGGGGAGGAATGTGCTTGGACAGCATTTCCTCCCATCCCAATGTTTGCAGACTGTCACTGAAGCTTAAACAGGTTAGAAAATGGGTCATTTATATCTGTTCGGTCCTGAGATAACCCAGAGGTTAATGGAAGCTGTCCCATACAAGTTACAGAATGAGTATAAAGTGCAGAACGGTAAATCAGTGGTAAATCTTTCTAAGTATGTCAAAGCACGTTTTGTCCTGCAGACTGAGCCACTCCATATCTTCTCTTTTTGTCTGATCCAAATGAATGATGATTTAAGATATCAATGCTTCCTATATATCCTCATCTTTCTTAGACTGTTTCTTGCAACAATCCCCCTTTATAGCCTCTAAATCAGACTTCTAACCAGTTCATTCACAGAGAAAAAACATCCTCAAGAAAATTTCAAATGTTTGTCAGATAGTCCAAGAAGGCAACATGCAATATCTATGTGGGTTGAGGTTATTTCAGTATGTAATGTCATTTAGGCTTTCTAATCATTAAACCCAGATGTCTGTTTTTGTTCTTAGCTGAACGATGTGTCATCAGTTAAGTCAATGGTCAGAAATGCTACAAGCTGAAGGCTAAGAATATTTCAGTTTAACAGGAGTTTCCCTAAAGTTAGAACGAAAATTTTGCTCTGGAAGGCATTAAAAAAAGATGCCGTGAGAGCACTTGTGGGCTTTGAAAATGTATGAAAAAATTATTCTAATTACAAGCTTCAAAGCCTCTTCCAAAGTTGCTACATGTTAGACATGCATAGAGTAGTGCATGTCCTATGTTCAACCAGGGGTGGATAATTCAGGTCCAGAAAGTAATTGATTGATTGATTGATTGATTGATTATTGATCTCACAATGGGGAAATTTAGTTGTTACATCAATACTCAAATAGTCAAAGAAGAAATAGTCATCCTGTACCCTTAAACAGGTGATTAATCTGCATTGGGGGGCTGGAAATGGAAATGGTTGGAACTGATCTCTGTACAGTTTTTTTACTTTCTGGACCTGGATAATTCACCTCTGCTGTGAACTCTAAGCAACACCTAAAAAAAATCTATAAAATCTATACTATATTGCTGCAAACAGCATGTCTTACTGTTTGGATGTTGTGTTCAGGCTGATCTGCTGTGTTCATATTCTGCATCATACTCGCTAAAGAATAGGTCAGACATTTTAGCTGTGCACCTTGGCCCCTTCTTCCACATGTTTGCTGTCTACCTCACATGACTTGTTTAAATATGACTTCTAAGACTTTTCATTGATCAATGGCTTTTTTTGTCTACTTGATGAAGGAAAACTGAGAGAATATGTGGCTTTTAATTCTCCTATTTAAAATGCATCTATATTGACATTATGTCAAGTTCTGCAAGAGGTAAAGAGCATCATAGAAAATGAGAGATTGAGTGAATTTGTAATTGAAACAAGAAGATGATTTTATAGAAAATGGAAGATGAAACAGACATATCACAGCTGAAAATCTTTTAATATATAATACACCATTTCCTCTTATAAAATACACTGAATTTTGATTACAAAAGATGACACTGTGGAGGATATTTAATTAAACTGCCAGAAAAGTCTAACTAAAGTAACATTAAACAGATTAATAACCTGATAAAAATGACATTAAACCTAATCTGGCTTATTAAAAATAATTCATAAAATTATAGTTATGAAGTTTGAGTGTATTTTCAAAGCAGACTGTTTGAGTGTCATTGCATTTCGACCTTCTAACCACGTGGGGGCAGTAAGTTCACAACTCCGCTACACCACTGATCTCTATTACACACAGAAGAAGTATTGTTATCACTTTCCCTACATTTCTCCTGTACTTACACTTTTAATCAACTAAGGAGACTCCGTCGGATAAATTCAAACAATGTCTAATGACAAGGTGAGAACTTTTGTTTTTAAAATGTATTTTTTTAATGTAAAAGTCCGTTTTAAAATGCACTGTTGTTGATGTAGCCCGTTAATGGCCGCTAGCAGTTAGCATTAGCTTGTAGTTATGTCAATCACTGTAGCTGTCTCTCGCCTTTGGCTATGCTAGTGGTATGCTTCATTTCTGTGCATAAAATCCAACGGAAATCATAGAAAATACAACAATCCCGTTTTAGCCTAATGTGAACTCTTATGCTGGACTTGACTGTTATGGTTAAGCTGCCTAAACATTGTCCGAAACTTTAAGGGACTTTGAGAGTTTAACACCTTCTTTATAAATGAATAAAATGCATTAATAAAAATGTTTTTTGTTGTTGTTAGGATTTCAGACAGCAGCTCTAACCTTTTTCCGCTCTGTGTTTCTGTGGATGTCACTATAGAATCCTCTAAATCAGCTCAGGGACCTGGTGGAGCTGAAAGATCAGCTGGAGGACATCCAGAAACGGGTGGAGGAAGAAATTCAAGTTGGGATTCCTCCAGTAAGAGTCCTTCTGTTAAGTTCGGTTCAGAGGGGAGATTAATTTAAGAGATGAAGATTGATAGTAATCAGGGGCGGATTTAGGAAATTTGGGGCCCTAGGCAAAGACGGGGATGGGGCCCTCTGAATTAAGAAGACAACACATAAAACAGACCCATTATACAGATACAGAAAGTTTTAATAGAACAGAAATACATTGTTTGTTCTATGTTTTGTCCCTCTCTTCTTGTCCCTTTTCTTGTTGTTTTCCTCTCCTATGTTCCTATGTTCTCAGCTGATTTTTCATGCTGTCTCAAAAGGAATGAAAGATTTTTTCCAATCACTGAGCTGACTTAGCCGATTGTTCCTTCCTGTGTTTCCAAAAAGGCGACGGCAAAAGTAAATAACACAGTCCTTGTTGCTGTTTGTGTGGACCTTTCTGCACATGTGCAGCAAATGGACTGATCCAATCTGATCTGCTTAGACGCACTTAATATTACAAGCGTTCCAATGCGGTTTTAACGAAAGTATTTTTATCAAATACATAATGAATGTTCACAAATGAGAAAAAGTTGTATTAACCGTACATGTAAACAGAGTTTTATGGGGCCCCCAGGAACTTGGGGCCCTAGGCAACTGCCTAGTATTGCCTAATGCTAAATCCGCCCCTGATAGTAATTCATCATCTTAATTCTGACCTTCCTTAGGCTTTGAAAGTTTGACCTTAATTAAAAACTTGAGCTGAGCTGTGGGAACATTTTGGTGTGAATCAACTCAAAAAGCCAATTGATTTAATCTCCTCTTTTTCCAGGGAGGCAGCCTGCTCGCTTCTCCTTTCTTGAAGGGTTTCCTGGCTGGTTATGTGGTCGCCAGGCTCCGCTCTTCGGCACTGATGGGTGTTGCAGTAGGAACATGCACAGGGATATACGCAGCGCAAAACTACGCTGTTCCAAATATTGAAAACACAATCAAGGAGTACATTCAGAACCTGAAGGCAGGAAGAAAATGAGAAAAGGGTAGCAAAATAGAGGATGATTACAACATCAAGATGGCTCCTGTAAAGCTATACGCATGGAATGGACATGCACTTGATCGCTATTTTGTGATGGGATTATTTTCAACCATGCTGTATGCAGGGTGGTCGATTTTTATAACATTCAGGAAAATTGGGGATAGAAATGTAAACATTTGTAGTAGAATGATGAGATTTAAAACAGATGCAGAACAGTATAAAAATGTGTAAATTAATTCAATGACAAAAAAGCCATTGTTTAAATAACAGCCCTGCCAGCTCCGAGAGTCAGTTTCAGTCTAAATATGTGTGAAAAAGTAGAATTATCACTATTGTGAGGATAGAAAAGCCCAAAGAGGGAAAAAAGTCAAATATTCTATTTTAAGATTCTATTCAGTTTGTGCAATTTTGTCAACTTATATCACAGGAAATTCCGGTTTTATTATAGTAGCTTTAAACTTGAATAAAGTTAAAAACCAGGCTCTTCATAAAGCAAAAGAAAAATGAGCTAAACACCAAGAGGAGCATTTGATGTGCTTGATAGACATTCACTAATTAGAGATGCGCCAATCAGAGAGCAGAATCAGCCAATTACTGTTTGTTTACTGAAAACGTTAGCTTATTTATTTCCTTAAATAAATTAAAACTAAGGAGGGCCTCAATTTCTAAGTGCTTGAACAACATCCTGTATCGAAGAATCAGAAATATTTTTTATAAAATATGGGAATCAGCTGCAGTTTCATAGTGAACTGGAAGCCTGTAAGGGTCAGGGAATGCTTGGTTATTGCTTTGCTACTTCTGATGTTGTGATATTGCTCCCTTGCAAATGAGTGTTTATGGGGTTTTTCATTATCTCATGTTGGTTAGAAATGACCAACAGAAGCCTTAACATTTGTAAATGCTGTTCACTTTTCATCTCAGAGCATAACTCAACCTATCAGGACTTTTTTCATCATTGCAGGTGATGGAATATTTGTTGTTTCAGATGGCTTGTCTCTGCAGTAAAATAACTTAGATGAAAAAAATATCACATCTGTTATTTTTTGCATCTGTTTTAATTTTTTTATTTAATTTTCCCATAAGTGTCTCACTTTTCATTCTGTTTCTGTCAATATGATCCAGGCTTTAATTTTTGCACAAGCATTTATGTCATATTGTTATTGCATGTGGAAATATATGGTTGATGTGTTTTATGTTCAATGTTGTAAGAGTGCCTAATCTGGTTTGGACTTGATCTCATCTCATGCCATATGTGCAATAATCTGTTTCTCAGAGATCTCGGGCTTGTTCTCTCATGCTGGAAATGTGTGGATCTTTTGCACTTCCTTTAGAGGTTTAAAGCTGTTACTTTATTTTGAAAAAAACCTTTTATTTCCCCACCTGATGTGTTAAAAACCTGTTTATTGTATTTAACATTTGGAAGATTTGCATGTTAACACATTTCCCTTTTTTAAACTGACTGAAAAACATCCAGTTTCTGCACTAATAATCCCTTATATCACTTAATTCATCAAAGTTTGAAACATGACTGTAGATAAGAAACATTGAACTCAAAGCTTCATGATGTTAACCCTTTAACTGTAAAAGTATCTCATTCTACAAGAAATTACTGTAAAGCAGCATTGAGATTTTCATATAACTGTACATTGCTAATGGTATGTTGTCTGCATTATGTAACACATAACCACACATGGCTTTGCAAGCTTTTATGAAGTATAAAAATTTGTGCCATGAAAGAAAATTTGATTTAAAAGGATTTTTGGTTGCATTGTTTCTTAAAATTGCCTTTGAATGTATAACTGAAAAAGATTTGTCCTGTTAAAACTGGGAGACAAATGCAAATATGTGCCTGTTGACAATCACTTTATCCTTATGTTGTTATGAAGGGTTTGGTCTTTTAAAAATTCAATTTCACAGATTTTGTCTTTAAGTAATAATCTTTTCTGGAATTGTTATTTTGAGCAGCTATTGTTTAACTGGTTTTCTTTTGAGGTTTTCATTCCTGCCTTGTTAATGTGTTATTAAGTGTGTGTTATGCTTTGACTGCTGCTGTGCACCAACTTTCCCTCTATGAAACAATAAATAAATAAAAATTAATCTCCATTTCTCTTAACATTTCATCCCATCTTTAATTAATGTGGACTTTAGCAAGACCAGTGTATGACTATGGTTTGATTTAAACCATTTCATTGCAGCCGAGGCTCAAGACCCCTACTTATTAGGTCCTGCTCTCACGTCTGAAAATAAAAAATTAAGCTTGGAAAAGGAGGGATTTAGAGCAATAGAATTAGCCTTTAACAGCCATACACCAGTCAGGAAAGAAAACAGTAGAGAAACAAGTTAATATCAACACAAAGCAGACATCTCTGCAAGTTTTTATTTTCTTCAAAGTATTTAAAAAACTACAAAAGAATTGGATAATTTTCTGAAAACCCAGCTATCCAACTCCAGCAAAGATCCATATATAAAGAACCAAAATGAATGTAATGATTTACAGCACAGGTAAATCAGAACACCTCAATCCAAAATGCTTTTTAGTTAAAAAACAAAAAAAAAACAACTTAAACTGCAATAACCCTTAGTAGAAACTCAGGGTTGGCTGTGGTGTTGCTCAGCATGCACACGGCCCTCTGAACCTTGGCCAGGTCTCCCCCAGGAACCACGGTGGGAGGCTGGTAGTTGATGCCAACTTTGAAACCAGTGGGACACCAGTCCACAAACTGGATGGTGCGCCTGCTTTTCATGGTTGCGATGGCGGCGTTGACATCCTTCAGCACCACATCCCCTCTGTACAGCATGCAGCAGGCCATGTACTTGCCGTGGCGGGGATCGCACTTCACCATCTGGTTGGATGCCTCAAAGCAGGAGGTTGTGATCTCAGATACAGTGAGCTACCCGTGGTACGCCTTTTCAGCTGAGATGACAGGGGCATAGGCAGCCAGGGGGAAGTGGATCCGAGGATAGGGCACCAGATTGGTCTGGAACTCTGTTGGGTCAACATTCAGAGCTCCATCGAAGCAAAGAGATGCCGTGATGGAGGACACCAACTGAGCCACCAGCCTGTTGAGATTAGTGTAGGTTGGATGCTCAACGTCCAAGTTCCTGTGGCAGATGTCATAGATGTGAAAGCACAGTCTGAGTGCTCCAAGGTGCTGTGGGTAGTGAGGATGGCATTGTAGGGCTCCACTACAGCCGTGGAAACCTGAGGAGCTGGGTAGATGGCGAACCCCAGCTTGGAATTATTGCCATAATCTACAGACAGGCGCTCCATCAAGAGGGAGGTGAAACCAGAGCCGGTTCCTCTGCCAAAAAGCTATGGAAGACCAGAAAGCCCTGAAGCCCGGTGCACTGGTCACACTGTGTAAAGAGAGGGAGAACAAGAAGGACGCTTAGAAATCTCATTTCAAATACACTTCAGCTGGCCTCAGCAACAGCTGGATTCAAACTCCAGCAGCCCAATAATATTGCCTTAAATATGTGGAAACTCAATAAATCCAACATTGAATCCACCTACCAGTTTACGGATTCTGTCCGTAACAGGATCAACGAGCTCTTTTCCCGATGGTGTAGTGTCCACGGGCGTAGTTGGTAGCAGCATCCTCCTTCCCAGAGATCAGCTGCCCAGTAGAGACTGACATTTTTTCGGGAATCCCACGGGTCACGGGATTCCCGTGGGATGGGAGTCAGTAACGATCACGTGATTGGGACGGTACAGGATTAAACATTAACGGGAGCAAACCAATAGTAACAACAAAAAAAAAACTAGGATCGATGCCAAAATTTTTTTTTAATAAAATAGAAAGAAAAAAAATCCAGTACTGTCGCCGCCATTTTGTAGCCTACACCATAATGCGAGTCAAAAAAACTACACGACCCAAAAACCAACAGTGCTTCCGCTCTGAGTTTTTCACCCGCGCTGAAAAACAACAATGGAGGGACCAACAGTTAGTGGCGAACTTGACTTGGAGAAGTTTGAAAAAAGTGATATCTTATTGAAGACAACAAGAATGGGAGTGGTGCGGGAGCAGGAGTCATTCTGAATGGGAGCGGGATGGGAGTGGAAGTAAAATCACCAGAAGTGGGACGGGACAGGATTTAGATTTCTACTCTGGCCCGGGATCGGGACGGGAAACAATTATTTTCTGTGGGAGTGGGACGACAGGAGTGAAAATCCACTCCTGTGTCAGTCTCTACTGCCCAGGTTGGAACAGTTGTTTGAAGCGCCCAGTTCTCACTTCATCTAAGAGACACATTTTAATTATAGACCGGATTTATTTGTTTGACTGAGTATAAAGATAAATAAGATCAAATAAATATATTTACCAACAACAGAGGGCTCTAAGTCCACAAAAATCGTTCTAGGGACATATTCTCCTGCTCCAGTCTCATTGAAGAAGGTGCTGAAAGAGCAGTCTCCTCCACCAGTGCGCATTACACTTGGATTATGGCCGTCTGGCTGGATCCCATGTTCAAGGCAGTAGAGCTCCCAACCGGCATTCCCGATCTGAACGTCAGCCAAACAAAGATTGCATAATTACCTTATATTTTATAATAATTTGGTTATAAACGGAGACAAATAGTCATGTCATTCAAACAGATATAATTTAACAGCATATCTTCTGGGGCTAATGTATACATGCTACAGTTGTAATCATTATCCTATAATCCCTCATTCCTGTTGGAGACAGTGGAGTCAAATATGAGATTATAACCCTTGTTCAAAACTTCTGCCAGTTACCTAAGTTCCTAACGGGACAAAATAAATAAATAACAGGGACCGAAATAAACCGTTAGGGACAACCGCTACAGCAGGGAAAAAAAGTGCGCAATGAGCTATCCAGAGCAAATGTTGGTAAAAACCAAACCTGACCTAAGTTGAAAGTGCCTGAAAACTTTTTTTTTTTGTCAATAAAAGCTACCATTTCGTTAATAAAGCAAAAGCCTTGCCTGTTGAATTAAAATGCTAGCTTGTTCAAAGCATTCGGCTCAACTTCCATTAATGTCAGTTTACAAGCCTACATTCAAATATATTTTTAAAAACTTTTCATATTAATCTTACCATTTTGTAAAGTCGTTGCTGTTAACTTTAACTGAAACCGTCTAAAACGCTCCAATCTATCAGTTGTGCTGCTGACAGGACATAAAATAAAGAAAATCTAAACGGTTTGAGCTCATTCGTGAAATGGACCATACCATTACGTTGGGGGTGTTGGACTTTACCATTGATCATTAATCACAAAATCAACTAAAACTTAGTAGTAATAATTTTAGTACTTAATTATTATCCCCAATACAAAACTTAAAAATGAGAGGTTATTAAATGCAAGATTATTAACATTAATAGAAGACGTTTAGAAATATTAGATCTTTTAAATAGATTTGTACATGAAATAACTTACACTTTCTCAATGTATCAGTTCTGCTTCACATGATTGACACGTGCCCACAGACATCTTCATTCATACATTTATTTCTCATAGCCCACACAACGACAACCACTGGGAAAATATGTATACCCCTGTGTATAGTGACTAGGATTGGCTATTGATGTTTACCGTCCTTCTTCCTCCTCAAATATTTGTCTGAAAACCAGTTTGCTCCTTTTCCTAAACATGCTTTGAAATTGCTTTAATTTAATATTCAGTTATTGAAATACTCAGATTTTTTGTGCAAATTTGATGGATAAACAAGTTTCCCTCCAATAATTTATGATCTTTGTGGGGCCAGTCTAGTCCAAAATGACAGGGCCGATTTTTTGTCCCAGTCCATTTATGATCTTTGTTTTTCACATTTGATCATCTCACACCCATAAAAATAATTTTCCTTTTTTTCTGCTTATCCAATTGAGAATCAGCTTTCTTTTATGTAAAAGCAGAAGCATGTAATTGTGCAGTTAACAGAACATGAAATATATGCAGGTAACAAAAACTGAAAACTGTGTGATTTAAAATTAGTAGAAATCGAACTCTTCAGAGATTTTTCAAAGAACATTAGTGACTGAAACACACTGCAGACAGGTCAGAGGTCATGTTGTGGAGAAGTTTAAAGCAGAGTTTGGTCATATAACCACCTTACAAGCCTTAAACATCCCACAGACAACTCAGGGTTCTGCTTTGTGGGAGTTTTGTTGAACGTCCTGCTGAACAGGAGATAAAGTAGATATTAGGAGTTGTAAGACAACCAGTCTTTTTCCTGATGCTTTATCATTTGTACTTGAATTTCCATAAGGTGTCAGGATCCCAGCTTTTGTGTTTGTCTGTTTTTCTTGTCTTTTGTGTTTCTCCCTTCCACCACCAGGAGGCGCCTCCTCACACACCTGCAAGCTGTTACCTCATCACCGGACTGCTCTTAAAGGAATAGTACACCCAAAACATGATTAGCCTTCATTTTCTACTCACCCCCATGCTGAACAAAACTCTGGAGTACTTTTTTGATATCTCAAATGCATCTGGAGATCTGGGAGGCTTCTTGCTGTCTGCTGACATTCAAATAATGGAGGTCTATGGCGCCCGAGACAGAAAGGTCCACAAAAGTCCACAAAAACGTGTCAATATTCCTCCATACTGCTCGTCCAATGTAATCCAAGTGTCCTGAGTGGGTAGCATCCAGAATTTACTCGAAACGAAGTCATTTAGAACGTTTTAGAGCCTAAACAGTAGTGTATAGGATTTCCTAATAGCGCCCCCATGCGCGCTCACGATTCTACGGAAGCCGGCAGACCAAACCGGAAGGAAGTGCGCATTCAGCGTCTGCTCTGCCGATAATGCAAGCGTAGAAGAAGAAATGTGCTGTTTACCTGTGCAAAGAAAGAAACAACGAAAGAAAAATGTCTGAGGACTTCAGTGTTGAGGAAGAGCATGAGTTCTTTGCCGAGCTGAATGCGCTGGTTTGGTCTGCCGGCTTCCGTAGCGTCGTGAGCGCGCATGGGGGCGCTATTAGGAAATCCTATACACTACTGTTTATGCTCTAAAAACATTCTAAATGACTTCGTTTCAAGTAAATTATGGACGCTACCCACTCAGGACACTTGGAATACATTGGACGAGCAGTATGGAGGAATATTGACACGTTTTTATGGACTTTTATGGACCTTTCTGTCTCGGGCGCCATAGACCTCCATTATTTGAATGTCAGCAGACAGCAAGAAGCCTCCCAGATCTCCAGATGCATTTGAGATATCAAAAAAGTACTCCAGAGTTTTGTTCAGCATGGGGGTGAGTAGAAAATGAAGGCTAATCATGTTTTGGGTGTACTATTCCTTTAAGCTGCTGGTTGCCACTACTTCGACGCCAGAGTGTTTGCCAGTTTGGGGAACTCTAGCCAAGCCTTGTTTATGCTGAGTCTAATGTGAGTTTTTGCATTTTGAGTTTTTGTTCTCTACCCAAGCTGAGATCACATTGAGTTTAACTGAGCGCTTGTTTCTCCCTGAGTCTCAGCTTTGTTTGTTCTTTGCCTTTCGGCAGGAAGCCTTCCTGCAAACTGGACCTTTTCGGGCCGCCTTCTCCCAAATGGGATCAGCTGAGTCTTACACTGAGCGACGGATTCCAAACAGGAGGTTTGGATCCAGCCACCTTTGAGCACGCTGAGATCACTCTCTGAGTAAGGAAGTCATCTTCACCACGACCCGTTCAAGTACCACAGGAAAACTGAGTTGCAACCAGCGGCTGCATCATTCCACTCCGTCTGAGTTCTGGGTAAACCCTGTTCCGTCTTTCAGTTTTCCGGCCGAACAGAGTTCGGAGGAACTCTGCACCGAACTCTAAATACCTTTCAATAAAAGCCGTTCAAACTTTTACTCTGTGTCTCTCTGTTTGGCTTCACTGCATGTGGGTCCGAGCTTTAGATAAAATCATGATATAAGGGATGAACGATTAAGAAAAAAGATGAGTGTGGCACAAATTCAAATGTGCAAATAATGATTATTCACCCACATTTGACAAGTGGGGCAAGAGGAACATTAATACTTCCCTTGCCCCATAGTAACCTTGGCGGTGCTGCAGAGATCCACAGCTCGGGTACGATAATCTTTCCATTTCCATCTGCCAATCTGGTCGTTATGAAGTGGCAAAAAGAAAGCCCTGTTTGCAGCTTTCAACAAGCTATAGCAGACCCACATCAAAATCCTCAGTGAAATATGGTCATGGCACCATTGTGTTACGGAGGTTGGTTGAGTGGGTTGAAGGGGCGTGGTCAGAGTTGATTAGGAGATGGGTGCAGGGAAACACAGGGTAATTCCAGGGGTAATTATATGAGACGCTGCTAAAGAGCAAAGACTGTACCGAGGTTTAGTTTCCTGTAGGACAATAACCTGAAAGGTATAGTGGAGGATGCTCTTTTTCCAGGTGGATCACCAAAATAAGTGGTCCTCCTAAATGTCAATGATTCTGGGATATGTTTACATAAGGCCGTCCTACGTGCTCGTCCCCATTTTCACTTACCGGTGGTGAGTCTGACATTGTGGAAAAATTGCAAATCTTCTTTTAGAAAGTAAGCTTGTATGAGCGATGCAAACAGCAGCTTTTAAACAGAGCGTGCATGAGGAGAAATGGGCCGCGTGCTGGTACAGAGTAGTGCATGTGCATTTCTTTTTTTTTTAACTGAAGAGGGGAGTCTTTTCAAAAATTCGCGAAAATCCTTCGCTGTACATTCAGCCAGATCTAAAACCAAATTGTCCAAAGAAAATATATAATGGTCAGATTGCTTCTGTCAAAGCCCAAATCTGAGTCTAAGTGATTATTTGGACTTCCTTTTTTACGGGCTGCTAGAGTAAGCAACAAACTTATCCTTTTTATAATTCTGTTGTAGTCCAGCAACTGTCCCTTTTTAAATCAGAAATTTCCTGCAATATAAACATTAGGGTAATGGCAAGGATGCATTCCATCCCAAAGGATAAACCAATATGTTTATAGAAAATGAACAAATAATGAAGAGAATACATCTGCAAAAAATGCAATATGAAAAGCACTGCAGCAAAGGTGGAGGAGAATCTGAGAGCAGAGCAGGGGCCCCATGAATGAGAGAATACTGACACCTTCAGGCCGAAGGGGCTTATTGTTGACCAATGTGATCCAGCAGAAAGCAGCATGAGCTCAGAAAACATTTTGACCTCAGGTTACACCTTCCTTCTTTCTTTGGTGTGCTGTTGTTAATTAGGTATAAATGTAGAGCCAAATACATTAGAATATAAGAGGAAAATAAAAATTCACCACAGGAAGTGTGAAAATTATATAGAGACATACAATGCCCTTCGCAATTATTGGCAGCCCATTTAAGATGTGGTCGAGGACTTAAAAAAATTCTCCTTTTCTTTTAAATAACAAAGAACCCAAATACAAAAAAAAGAGAAAAATCCAACCTTTTATTTAAGTTCATTACTTTGGTGGTAAAAATAAAATCACACATTTAGAAAATAAAAAACATGAAATCATGTGTCCCACAATTATTGGCACCCCTAACAATTCCACTAAAAACTATAATTGATTTCCTTTCAATGTATTTTTCTGTAGTTGCTAAAGTTGGTTAGGGTATCTAGGGACTTTTAATTAGTAATTCATGACTTCCTGTTTTGCCTGGGGTATAAATATGACGTGACACAAAGGCCTAATTCTCTTACCAATTAGTCAACATGGCAAAGACAAGAGAACACACAATTCAAGTAAGGCAGACCTAGGCCTACCTAGTCTGGAAAAAGAGTTCTTTTTCATAATATTCACTCGGTGTCTCGCTATGGGATGCAGCCTCCTGCAGCCCTGATAGAAGCATTTATCTCAATCTGCCAATCCTGCTTGGCCGGTGAAAGTGCTCGTCTTACGCCACGCCCCGTAGCTCCGACTACTAAAGCGTGTGTGGATCACGGCACTTCAATTCAAAACCTCTTCTCACCTGAGAGCTTATCTCATGTCGGAGCCTTCTGCTAGTTTAACTGCCCACAGATGTACATTGCTAGTTTCCGTCGCAGGACGCTAGCACTGTGCTCTGGCTTCTGCCCTGTTCGCTCACTCCAGACCGGACCGGTATTCTTTTCCATTCATTTCACGGCGGAATCCCTCTCTGCTCCCCTCCGCGGACACTCGAGTCGGACGAGCATTTAGCACACCAGCTACTTTCTCGACCCCACCACGCTAGCACGCCAGCTAGCTTCGGTTCCTTTCCCAACCAGCACTCCAGCTCGTCGGAAAATGGCAACCGTCAAAAACCCCCACGCCAGGGGAGACTACCGTCTTTGTGGCTGCAGGAATAAAATTTCAGAGAAAGACACCCACCCGGTGTGCAGTACCTGTCTGGGAGTTGACCACGCCAGGTTGGCCCTCGAAATTCCTGGCTCCTGTGGGCACTGCAAAGTGTTTCCCGAGGAAGACGTGCTGGAAGTCAGCCCCATGGAGGAGGATGACGACACTTCGTTCCTCATATCAGAGGAAGAGGATGACACCTTCATGGCCCCAACCCAGCCTGAAAAGCCAAAGCTGCCGAGCCCTTCCACCAAGGAAGACAGGGGAGCGAGCTCACCAGCTCCCTCCCTCCATGTGGATCTGCTCGACGTGTGCAAATGCGCGGCGGAGAAGCTGGAGATCCCCTGGCCGGTCGCAATAGTGGAGCCCACCCGGTCCCGCTACGAAGGCAAATGGCTTCCCTTGGCGCGAAATACGGTGAAACAGCTTCTTCCTGTCTTCCCCGAGTTGCTGACTGAGCTCTCCAAAACATGGACTAACTGCCCATACAGCAACAGGAGCCCTATTTCAGGCGCAGCATCCCTCGATCGCAAGGCGATGGATGTCCACGGTCTCCTCTCCAGCCAGCTGTCCGCGGCTTCCCCCAGGCACCCGATGCTGCAAGCTAAGCCCGAGCGGTTTCAGTCCGCGCTAACCGAAAGGGCATACAAAGCAAGAGCCCTCATCGCCCTCTCCATCCTCACTGCCTACCAAGCGGAGTTGTTTGGCGCGTCTGCTGAGGAGCAAGACCCGGACACGTGGGAGGAGATGGTGGTCATCGTAGATTTATCTCTCCATATCCAACGTGTCTCGGTCCAGGCCACGGGAAAGGTGATGGCAACCCTCGTCATCCAGGAGCGAGCGCGATGGCTCAGTCTCGCCAACCTGACCAACAGGGAGCGGGATGACATTCTGGATATGCCGATCGTCCCTGAAGGCATCTTCGGCTCTGCATTGGCCACAATGCAGCAAAGATGCGAGGCAAAGAAGAAGGACAACGAGGCCCTCAAACTTTGTCTCCCTCGCAAAGCCCCAGAGCCTTCACCTCCAGTGCAGCGCAAAATCTTTGCGCAAGCTGCCTCCCAGCCGCCGCGTTTTAAAATACCGAGACGGCTACCACCGCTTTGTCCGCCCCCTCCGATGAGGAAGGAGCGCGGAGCCGGCTGGCAGGGAAAACCTGCCTCCCCGACCGCTGCGCCGCCGCCGCCCACAGCAGCCGCGACCACGGACCCACAGGCGAGGAAGAAAAAGAGAGCGGCCTGACAGCCAGCAGTTCCTCAGTTGGTGCAGCCTGCCATTCCCCGTTGCGCAGGCCCACCGTTTTGGCTTGTTCGAGCACGCCCGGCGCCACCGTTGCCCATCCCAGAGCCGGTCCGCGGGGAGAGGGACAAGCCCCCCGGAGGTTTGCGCGGTTGCGCCCCGAGCGGAGTGTCCACAAGCACAGTCACACACACATGTTCAAAGAATGAATGGTGTCAAAATAAAAATAATAAATCTGTCACAGCCAGGCCACGAGCCGAGGGTGCAGATAATAAAAAAAAGCCAAAACAGACAATGCTCTCTCCATAAGCAGGGTGGCCGCTCAGCCCCCTGCAGCTCTGCTCCCGGGACGGGCGAAGCCGTCCCCGCAGAGCGGAGCGCCCCACGGTACCTCCGGTGGTGCCCGAGAATTATTTCTCGGTTCTACCACAGGGGGGCGCAGGGCAGGAGCCGCAATATGTTCCTCCGCTTTCTCTCAGATGGGAAAGCTGGAGAGCAGCAGCAGCTCCACCGTGGGTGTTGCGCACAATTTCCCGGGGATACAGGCTTCAATTCACCACTGTCCCTCCCCGTTTCTCCGGCGTAATACACTCACATGCACAGGGGGAATCAGCTCGAGTCTTATGGGAGGAAATCCTCTCTCTGATAGACAAATGAGAGGTTTCTGTCGTATCTCCCGAACAGAGTACTGCTGCGTCTAGTAAGACCGAATGACTGGTTTTCGTCCGTGGATCTGAAAGACGCGTATTTCCACATTCCCATTTATCCTCCTCACAGACAATATCTCCGATTTGCCTTTCAAGGGGTGTGTTACGAATACCGTGTTCTATCATTCGGTCTGTCTCTCAGCCCTAGGGTTTTCATACGATGCACAGAGGCCGCGGTACCTCCGCTCAGATGCCGGGGGATACGTCTGGCCACGTATTTGGACGACTGGCTCCTGTTAGCGCAGTCAGAACAGGAAGCCAGGGTTCACACACATATTGTCACAGCACATCTGATGGATTTGGGTTTGTGATAAATATGGAGAAAAGCCACCTATCTCCAACGCAGGAGATATGCTTTCTGGGATTATCCCTTCGCTGTTCCGTTCACAGCTCGCCTGTCTAAGGAAAGGGTGTTGACATTCAGAGCGTGCCTTGCACATTTCCGTCTGCACAGGTCTGTCCAGTTCAGACTGTGCCTTCGGTTGCTGGGTCTGATGGCCTCAGCCATCCTCGTGATTCGCCTCGGCTGCCTTCACATGCAAGACTTTCACATAAACTTTCTCGAACTTTCGGTGGTGTTTCTTTCCCTGAGACACTTCCTCCCATTCCTCTCGGGTC